GTATATATACGAGTGCACTGCCGCACGTCGCGCGGATCTTGACCGGCTCGCGCGAGCTTGGCTGTAGCTACGCGAGCAAATGTGAGTGCCCCGGCCTCGGACCTCCATGCACCCTCCCGCTCACCGTGCGCACTTTCGCTTCGCCTCGCCTCGCCGTGGGCTTCGTGGTCCAATTGTGTCTCGTCCGGGGTCTAGGGCATCGGCGGACGAGTCCGCGGCGTGACTTTACATGACGAGCGGAGGGCCGGGGCCCGCCTGAGTGAGATGTAAAGCGAGGCGAGAGTATTCGCGGAGGCGAGGACAGAGCGGACCAACGGGGCGCGATCCGGGGCGCGATCCGGGACGCGCTAGATGCGAGTGCATCCGGGAATACGAAACAGGGTACGCCCCAGGTATTTCGTACATGATGCAGGGACGCCTTTCGCGACGGCGCGCTGCTCAAAGTTTGTGCTGCCGGGCGGAGTGCATGTCCCGCCCGCCGGCGCGTTTGACAATGTTCTGTCGACTGAATTAGATTGTGACCGCGCATGCAACGTTCGTAGGTACAGGTGTACGCCTGTGGCATGTACCATGAGATAAACAGGGCGTGTACTTACCGTGAGGCCGGAGGAGCATGTCTGTGCGCGAGGCATTAAGGCTGAGCATGCGAAATCCACTTGCCGACGCATACGGAACACACTACGGGAAGGCACCGACAATGTCGTGCCGCCGCGAACATGGGAATTCGATCGAGAGGGTGCGCGCAATGCTCCTCCCGAGTTTCAGAAGCGATGATGGTGTTTGTCTCGCTTGGACAGCGCGAGGCGAGCTCGCAAGGAGACTGACATTGTGCTGTAGCTGAGATCGTGTGCACAGACAAGGGATGGCGCGGAGCGCAGTGGGTTCTCGATTGGGGAAGTAGTCTGTTGGAGGAGTCAAGCGAATGCGATGAGCACAGTGCAAGAATGTCAGGAGCAGTGACCAAGATGGCGCAAGGCCTGGCGGTCTGCTCATTCGTCCATCGCCTCAATATTGCATTACATAGTAGTATATGGAAGCCACAAACATCGTACTAAATGATCGAAAGAGGTCTAATGTGCCGCAACAATGATTACACCAAGTCCGAGCGGTCGAGATCAAATACGGAGACGTACCGCATATGTGGAGGCCCGAACGATGCTCGTAAACGCGAATCGCGCTGCCGCTGCTGGTGTACCTAACCGCGGTGCCTGCACGACCGTAAACGAAGCTTGCCCTTCAAGGTTAGGACCGTCCCAGATCCCTGGCCCCGCGAGGATCTTGCGAATGCTCAGGGCCTTTGAAAACTCGAGTGTCGAGCTGCTGAGCACATCTGCAGTTGGCTGTTAAAGAGGTCCGACATCAGCTACGGATCCGGAAGATATGACGTAGGTGCGCTCGGAACGCACTCTCGATCGTATGGTCGCCACCGTGAGTGGCCTGCGAGACGAGCAGAGCCGTTGCGGATACTCCAGACCGGGCACACCGAGGTTTAAAGTTGCATCCAATGGCATTCTCGTTCAGCCATAGGAGTGCCTCTGTGGAGTCGGCGTGAGTGGTCGGCGGGTTCGCGCTTCGATTTAACACTGTTACAGACGTATCAAAGATGTCTTCTTCGTCAGCGGGCGCATGCAAACAGGATGCATTCCATTGCATGGCTGCACAAAGTGACAGCAGTCGTTCCGGCGCGGAATAGCAGCCCTGATAATCAAGACTCATACACATGCGAACAGTGTAGGGATGACCCACGCAGACTGCCGAGGCCGTCCGAGATGCCCAAGCTTATTTGGGAATATATTTGCAGGCCAAGATCAGTTTTGCACGGGAATTCGGCAGGACTGGAGCGTACCGACATCAAATCCGACGGGCGTAGCGTTCCTCGGAATGCTCCGTACGGCATGCAGAAGGGACGTTCTGTCCGGTCTATGTGGTTACCGCGCGAGCGAAGCACGGACACGGCGGGGATACAAACAGCTCATAAGCTGTCCCTTGTTTGGCGGTACACCATACACTTGCAGCGAGAAGCTGACGGATCGAACCAAGGCTCAATGTTGTAACGTGGGCTATCGACGGACACGAGAAGGCGGCGGTGGGGTTGTCAGGTGTTATTAGCAAGGCGCGAGGCGCAGAGAATCCCGTTGTCAATCCAGGGACTCGGAGATCGCGAGAGTCATCCCGAGTGGAGGCCGTCCCAGGGCGGTGGCGAAATGACCGCAGCAGAAGGATAACCCCGTGTTCTTGCCGTATCCGAGCTGTCGCCCAGGTACGCGGTAACGGCCCTCTCCGGGACGAGAACACATGGGAACTGCTTCGGTGGGCAACGGCGGTTTTGCGGTGGCTGATCGGTGAGCGGCCAGGACCCTGCCTCGGACAGCGTGTATCCCGTACTGAGCGGTATCTTTAGACATCATACGGAGCCTGATACATGTCTGTAGCACACGGCTAATCGAATTAAACAGCGAGGGAGTATGCGAGGACCAGCCGCGAGCGCATGGGAGGAGGAAGAGAGGTGTCTGGAATAAAGTTCAATATCCGGGTCGGCGCCGAATCCACGCGGGCGGGCGCTCCAGCCTCCGAACCACACCGCTTGCCAATCTGGGCACAGCG